TAAGATTTTTTTTCTTTCACTGTAAATGACTATTGGTTTAAGAACATCATCAGAAAGCATTGGCTTGATAGCATGTCAGTAGAAGAATGCCATCTTCATAAAAAATGTTTAATTTAAAACAGAATAATTATAAATTTAATTATGAATAACAATTATAAATGTAATTATGAATAATAATCCTGAATTAATAATTAATAATACATTAATAAATGGGAATTAACAGTTTTCTCTGTTTTGATGAAATTGTGCACGTCATCCCCGTACACACTAGAAAACAATAGCACAGATTCCCAGAAATTTATTACACAAAATAAAAAGTCTTGAAGTTAGATGATAACTCTATTCAGGAAACTCTTATGAAGTACGTTGTGGTAATGAATAGGTCATCACTCACGCAAGTGAACAAAAATTCAAAGATTTTTTGATGCACTTTGTAAAAACAAAGATGCATTTGATTTAGAAAATCACTCATTTTGTTCCTAAATACTGTTTTTTGCCAAGAGATGATAGGTTGTCTATTGAAATCCTGATACATGTACAGCTCTGTGACACTGAGGCCACTTCTCTGAAATCTCAGTTATTGCCCTCTCCTCTTGTGTAAATAATTTTGCACCTGCTTTGCCTCAGTGATTGTGATATCACTACTTATATACTTGAGATTAAGTCCAGGACATACACTGTACAGGCAAGTGAGTAGGACAGAGTCAAACTTACTTTGAGAACTAAGTGGATATATATGGTTCCATTTTTAAATTCACATTTGCAATATGTTTAGCGCTCTTGATTTCTGCAGCAACTAATGAGAGTTGAGTGTTCTCACTGCATGCAAGACATAGACATTATCTAGGAATTTGTCATATGATTAATTACTAATTAACAGTCACTGATAATAAAGCAATTCTGAATAAATTTTGCCTCCTCTTAGACATGTGTTTTAGAGAGAGAGATGCTGTAAAACATTGTTTGTCCTCAATCAATTTGCTGCTTTGGTTTGCTTTTTTCATAGAGTTCAGGTATTAACTGTATCATGGAATAAAAGGTCAGTGCTGCAGGCTAGTTGCTGGCAAGAGGAGTCGCATCTCTCAGAGCAAGGGCACTTCTGATTAGAGTGAAATGAAGTCTACAGCTCCATATCCCTCTTTTGTTCCAAAATTATATCAGCAACAGAGCAAGACATCACAGAGTCTTTAAAAAAACAAAGCCAAGTTTGTCCCAGCTCTCTTCTCTCCACAGAATTCTTGGAAAAATAAAGCAGGCAGATGAGAAGAGTAATCTTACAGTTGACGGACTGCAGGGAGATGTTAAAAATCTTCATGCTATGGGAAGAAGAAGCATCCAAAGATATCAAAATGCAATATCTATTTAAAAAACTCCAACGACCATCCATCATCCTATGATGAATCTGTTGTTTGGAGCACATGGCTTCTGCAGGTTGCAAGCAGGGAGTCTAATTCCTCATGCTCCCCCAGACTGCTTTAGGAAGCCTGGTTTTAAAAGATGTAGGACTTCTAAGAAGTGCTTGTGGAGTGCTCTCCCCACCTCCTCTCACCAGCCACATGCCTACCATTTTGGTCTTCTTAGAACTATAATTGAAATAACAGAATCAATATTGAGATACTGCTAATAATCCTCATGAAACAGATTAAAATCTCAGGCATGGGAAACTTAAAAGCTGGGCAGAGCAAAACTGGTGGTGTTTTCAAAGAGGTAATCTTCCCTGTCAGTATCTGAGAAGTTACAGGCTCAGCACACTGACTGTTCAAATATTATACTTGATAGTGACTCAGTCTAAGTAGGTTTTTGACAGAAAGTAAATGCATAATGTTTATTGCAAAGTTTAAATTGACCTCCCTGCTCTTCAACAGCTCGATGTGATATCAGTATTGCCATTTGACGTTTTATACTTCTTCTTTGGATTTAACCCAGCATTTAGAGCAAATAGGATGCTAAAGGTAAGAACTGTGTTAGTGATGAATGGCCAACCAGACATCAATGCTTTTACAACCCAATGAAAAGTTATTTATAATATTTACAAATATGAAATTTAGAGACTAGAAAATGTCTTCAGGATAAACGACATCAGTAAATAAACCAACAAAAAATACAAGATATAGTCTAGCTAAAAGAAGACCTTACTATCTTATTTTTCTTTTTACTTTATTATTTCCTACTTTTGAAAGATGCTTTGTGATTAAGGCTGGTTTGTTTCCATTATTTAAACTAGATTAATCCTAAATTCTTCATTTAGTTTTCAAAGATAAAATAAAAAGCTATGTGTGAATATTAATGGCTATTAATAAAGGTAAATCACAAATAATTAACAGGAAGAATCTGACACAGCAGCAACTGATACCACATGTATGGTTGTTGATATGTATGATCACTTAGTGGAGTATTACTGGAATTTCAGGAAGAGAAAAAGGGATTTTTATGCATGTAATTCTCTCTGAGCAAAGGCTGCCAAGCAATTATACATGTTTGAGGATGTAGAAGTCATTCATTTACAGCAATCTGACCTAAACAGCAAGGTTATTTCTATATTCAGATTAACTGGACACTCAACACCCAAAACAAATGTTTAACTCAATTTTCATTTTCACTTTGCAGTTTACCTTTTAGTTACATGTTTAAAGTCAGACTACTGAAAAATCTTTTCTTTTCAAAATGTGTACGTGAACTGGGGTCAGTACTGTTATAAAAAGATACGTAGTGAAGAATATGATTGGATTACTTTCATTTGTTTTCTGTTCAGCATAACACATTCTTTGAGTTCAATGATCGCTTGGAAGCTATTATGGACAAAGCATACATCTACAGGTACGTACTTGTTTAACTCTCATAGCATGCAAAGCTTGGCACAGAATGCATTTCATTTGATTTCAAGGGTTGTCAGTGAAACACTGAATGGAATATGATACATCATTAACTTTTCAATTTAAACTTTTTTTTTAAATATATTTTTATTATAGTCATTGAAATAATAAACATAAAGCTTCACTCACATATCAAATCTAGCTCAGTTCAGCTGGCCTGGTTCAGGCAAAACGTTCACCAAACTGAGGGTCCCGCCAAGATTTAACTAATCAGAAGTATGTTTCTTTAGTGAAAGAGCTAAAGAACAGGGAGGTTTTAGGTTGTTAAGAGCAGTGCCAAATCCTCAAGGGCTGTTTATTTGTACTTAATAAGAGTTATGAGCTTGAGCCTGTGTCAACATTTTTCTTCAAATACGCTCTCCCCATGAACCTGGCATATACAGAAACTTAATCCTCTACTGCATTGGCTAAACTTGGAATGAGAATCAATTCAGCACAGATCTCAAATAGTGATTGCAATTGTTGTCCACTGCACCATGTTCTCACCTTCTGCATTGACAGGAAGAATTTAGGATTCAACTCAAGCAGTCCATGGACATGGTTATGGCAATATTCATAGGCTCCTCAGCTGTCAGTGATGCTGCTAAGACCCAGTGAATCACTGCCTACTTTTCTTCTCGAGTTTCTAATTTCATTACAAAGTATAGGATTTTATCTGGCTTGCTTATATTTTCAATATTTTTCTAATGTTGAGAGCTTTTAAAATTTATTAAATATTTTCCATATTACATCCTTTGCTTCAAAGTCATAATTCAATTACTTTTCTGTATCTCCTGTAATATTTGCAGTGAGTACTGGGAGACATAATTTTTTTAAATAGATGGTTTTAAATCAAGTGATTAGCTCATATGTAACAATAATGTTAGGTGTATATGGATTTCAAGGAAATGGGAACAAATTAGCAAACCTATTTTCATCCTGATAAGCAGCTGTGTAAGGGAAAGCGTTTCACACTATGTAAAAGTATGGAATGGAAAGTGGTTATTTAAAGGACAAGTTGAGAATGGGATATGTGTCTCTTCAAATTAGCCTAACTATGAAGGATGTGATGTTGATTTGTGTGTCAAAAAACAGGGAAAGTGCTCATTTAGAAAGGCTAATGTACAAACACAGAAAGATCTCACTGGTTCTGTAAAATGTATGAAGTAGCTGGAAAGACAGAAGCAGCTGCTCTACTGAGCTGTTCTGCCTCGTTAGACAGTTTTGCAGTGTAATATCAGTTGAGTGCCACAACTGTGCGTTGCTGCTTGTGTCTTTGCTCCCTGGTCACAGGCCCACTAAACGTTTTCCAATATTAAATCACTTGCAGAATATAAGCTGCACAATGTAAATATTACAGAATGAATCCATTCTCTACCTCATATTCTTAAGAGGACAGAAACTGGAGATGTTTGAAATAGAGCACTCTTCATAACTAAAGTGCGATTTTTAAGATGTGCTGAAAAACAGTTATAGTGCATGGACTACAATATTGCGCAGCATATATAGGGTTAACAGCATTGATGCTTTATTACCTGTAGGCTTTCACATCATTGCATTGCTAAGGTTTGTGGTAGAAAAAAAATGCCTGCATACTGTGCTACTAAAATATTATATTTTATAAACACCACCTAATAAATATGGCATGCCGTGCCCTGATACAATGATTTAAAGCATACTTTAGGCAACAATGAACCCCAGTTTTTGAGGTGCTCATTGGTAAAACCATTTATATGGCACAGATCTTTTAATTGGCTTACCAGAAGGCTTTATGGTAAGGAAAGGAAAAGGACCAATGAAGAAGAGTAGAAATGGGAGCTAAAAAATAAATACAAAGAAATGGGCTTGTGCAAACTACTGCATTTTCTTTGAATGTAGTAATGTTGTTTTGATCTGAGATCCTGGTATGGTCACCATTTGAGTGATAACTGGATAACTGGATAGCTTCCGCACAGCAAATGTATGTGCCTGTGTTGATTCTCTTCTCAAATTCACTAGTTTGAGTTTGTAGGAATAGAGATAGAAAAAGCTACTGCATCTTATCTACCCATTGTGGCAGATTCAACACATGACTAGAGAAATATAACAAATAGAACCTTTACTCAGACCTCAGGAGTCCACTTGCATGGATTTAAACTTGTGCACAAGATCCAGCATGGTCAATACTGCAATATATAAATAGAGCACATCAGCTATCTGCTGCTCTCAATAGCTTGCAACCCTAAACAAATCTGTTCTGGAGGCACATCAACATTTAAACAGAGAAGTGGCATTCATTTGTTAACATCCTAAAGAAGAAAAGTACATGTAGGTAGATTGCTCAACAGCATAGAGAGGCAAAGGAGGGCATGCAATGGCACCTTAAGAACCGGCAAAAGAACGCATTATACAGAAGCAAACATAGAGATATTACCTCCCACTAACTTAGTTTACAGGTAGTTCTTATTAAATTTTCATAAAACCGTGAACCCAGTTACTACGCACTGCAAACTGCATTGAATTCTAGCTGTGGCAGATAAACCCATTAAATACAGGCCTCCCTGTGTTTAGGCAATTCTTGTTCTTTTCCTGCTTATTTCTCCCTTGCCTGTATGAATATTTGAATGGAGAGGTACATCCAGGAGATCTTTTGATCTCTATGCACTGAGCAGAGGATATACAATGAGATCATTGTTGTATTAAACAGAAAGCTGCTTGGTGCTTAAGTAGTTAGTCACTGGTGTTCTTTAAACAACTGGCCATAAGCATAAGAACTGGGATTAGGAATGATATAACTCCTGCTATAAGCGCTAAATCATACTATTTAGCGGATCTACTGCAGGCTTCCTAGAACAGCTCTTGTAAAGCAGTTCATTTCTGACCTCAGACATTTCTTGGCTTTGGATCACAAGTTTAGAGCCTATCTTGAACAGTTTGTCAAACATATTAATTCATACCCTCTAGCCTCATTAATCAGCTTCAAATTTCTGTAAATATTCATAGCCTGTTAAAGAAGTGGATTATAAAGTCCTCAGGCAACCATAATTTCAAAATTACCCCATGTCAAATATTCTAGGAAAGATATTTATTTGACCTTGGACAAACATGAGAGGTAACTGCCATCTATTTTTTCCGTGGAATCTAGACAGGTGGGGAAATACTTAGTGGATGCGTAACATAAACATTGTTGATACAAAAAAGCAATGAGTTTCATATTAAGAGAAAGGAAAAACATAAGTTGTTTTACAGGAATCTATTGACTTTTATAGGGTCATTCGAACAACTGGATACTTGCTGTTTATCTTGCACGTTAATGCATGCCTGTATTATTGGGCTTCGGACTATGAAGGACTTGGCAGCACTAAATGGGTGTATGATGGCGACGGAAACATGTAAGTCCTTTCTTCTTGCAAGAGATGTTGATTTTGCTCCTTCCTGCATCCCCCTCTTCTTCCCAAGCCTCTGTTTGTGCAGGGTATGCACTTACTTTACAAGTACATGGATAGTAAACTTTTAGCGCCATGACTGCTCGTTATCAGCTTTCATTACTAACACATATTTGGAGGGCAGGTGCAGTGAATAATCAGTTTACCACTTTCAGATTTTATAGGTTTATGAGTCAGTGCTCAGCACTAACTTAATTAAACATTTAGAAAGCAACAAGTATCATAAATTAAGCTTACTGATTGAATATGCACATGTGAACTGCTGGAAGGATTGAAGAACAATCCCTCAAGGGAATCAGAGGCATAGATTTTTTCTCTGCCACAAAGCATAATGTAGCTAAAATGCAACATTTTAATCTCTCTAAATACCATGGTGATTGGTGTGAAGAAATTCCACCTACTTTCTCTGAACTTCTGAGAAGTTCATGCTTAAATAGGTGGCAAAGTGTCTCCAGTGGGCAGGACTGGGTATTAACACACCTTTCCACAAAATCTTTGTGACAACACTAGGCTGGGTGCCAATTAAGGAACATTCATTATAGATGATGGAGAGAAAGAAAAAGACCAAAGTCATGATATGTGTGTGTAGTTATATAAAAACATATCTAGTAGGTTCAGATGTATGAACATCCATTTCTTTCAAAGACATTAACGCAGTTAGAGCCACAGAAGCTCAACTTGTTCATTAATTATATTTTTTGCAAAACTGCATATAAGATACTACTGCTGTCATAAATCACCCTTTAACCAGCTTTTCACATTTCTCTTGGAGACATGCTGCTCTTAATTGTAATTTTGTCAGACTTTACAAGTTTGGTGTGAAGTCACTGTCTTGAAGGGTAAGAAAATAGCTTTTGGGAGTAAAAGACACTGTGTGGAAAGCAGCATTGACTTTTTATAATTAGAGTTCTGTCTAAAAAAAAATGATATGGCTGAAGTTTCCACACACCACTAAAATACACAGCTTGAGCACTGAAGTCAGACACATGCAAGCAGGGTCATGGAACTCAGGGGTCAGTACTGGGACCAGAACTATTCAATATATTCATCTGCAATTTGGATGAGGGAACAGAGTCCACCGTCAGCAAGTTTGCTGATGACACAAAACTGGGAGGAGTGGTTGACACACCAGAAGGCTGTGCTGCCATTCACCGAGACCTGGACAGGCTGGAGAATTGGGCAGGCAGAAATTTTATGAAATTCAACAAGGGCAAGTGTAGAGTCTTGCACCTGGGAAGATCAACCCCAAGTACCAGTATAGGTTGGGGACTGACCTGCTGGAGAGCAGCATAAGGGGTCCTGGTGGACAGCAGGAGGAGCACGAGCCAGCAATGTGCCCTCATCACCAAGAAGGCCAAGGGCATCCTGGGATGTATTAGAAGGGGAGTAGCTAGTAGAATCACAGAATCATAGAATCATAGAATCGTATCAGCTGGAAGAGACCTAGAAGATCATCAAGTCCAGCCTTTGTCCCAGTCCTGACAACCTACTAAACGATTCATCCCAACGCAACACCCACCCTTCTCTTAAACACCTCCAGGGACGGTGACTCAACCATCTCCCTGGGCAGCCTGTTCCAATGGCTGACAACCCTTTCAGTATAGAAATTCTTCCTAATATCTGCCCCACCTCTCTACAACCTCCCTTCAGGTAGCTGTAGAGAGTGATAGGGTTGTAGAGGTTGAGAGAGGTTCTCCTCCCCCTCTACTCTGTCCTGGTGAGGCTGCATCTGGCATATTGTGTCCAGTTCTGGGCCCTCAGTTCATGAAGGAGAGGGAACTGCTTGAAAGAGTCCAGTGTAGTGCCACAAAGATGATGAAGGAAGTGGAACATCTCCCTTATGAGGAAAGGCTGAAGGAGCTGGGTCTCTTTAGCTTGGAGGAGGCTGAGGGGTGACCTCATTTATAAATATGTAAACGGGGAGTATCAGGAGGACGGAGCCAAGCTTTTCTCAGTAATGCCCAGTGACGGGAGAAAGGGCAATGGGTGCAAGCTGGAGCATAGGAGGTTCCACAAAAACATCAGTAAAAGCTTTTTCACTGTGAGGGTGACAGAGCACTGGAACAGGCTGCCCAGGGAGGTTGTGGAGTCTTCTTCCCCGGAGACATTCAAAACCAGCTTGGATGCATTTCTGTGTGACCTACTGTAGGTGATCCTGCTCTGGCAGGGGGGCTGGACTAGATGATTTTGAGGTCCCTTCCAGTCCCTAGCATTCTGTGATTCTGTAACCCAGTGGGACCACATATCTAAGTGAAGTTATACACAGGTATTTATTCTCAGGATCAAGGCTTCCAAAAAAAAATCTGATGAGGAAAATGCAGAACAAATTTCCATTATGGCTATTTTTGTTAGTGTCATTCTTGGGAATACTTGCTTCACAATTAAAAAATAAGGGAACTAAGTGTAAGCAACTTCAAAACCCTGAAAGTAGAGCATTTACTCAGTCTTCACGTTTTTAATGCTTCATCAGAATAGCCTAGGAAACAGGCAAGAAATTCTTCTTGTTTTGCATGGGCATTTTACTCAGGGAAACAATTGGTAGAAATTATTCGCTACCTTGATCATAGAAAACACAGTTGTGCCCAGAAGCTATGATCATATTTTTTATTATTTTGTGATATCTTTTCCATGAGGAAACATAAACACTTCTCAAATGACATCACATGGGATTTAGGGCAGAATGTTTTATAAACAATAATAATAAACTAATAATTCAGGGTTTACATTAAACTGAGATGCTGAAAAAATTTGCATATTAGAATATATCATATAAGCCTCATTAAGGCATTTTAATGCTACCCCATCTTGACTTTGTTTTGGAAATCTATGTCTTCATTCTTTTGCCTATATCTAACTCATACTGAACTATTTGGTCCCCCAAAGAGTATCCCATATTGATCTGCATTTCATAAAGTAAAGGTTAGTATCCTACTAAGAGCAAATGCTTTCTCTATAGGATAGTCATCAGCTTAGACAATCAGGCATGACACATGATCTGATTGTCAAGTGTTTTTACAGAGAGGTATTATGTGACCTTATTTGTTACTGGACATGCAATGTGAATTGAAACATACCAGACATGATACTTGTAGATGTATTTGTTTGGAAAGCACAAATTAAGGACAATCTAGGAAAAATCTGTCCGAAAAAGTGACCAGAACTGCAGTATATATAATGGCACAGCAGTGCAGATATAATTTCCTTTCATATAGCAGCGTTGCCAATATTTGAAGTAAAATATGCCATTGGTGTCATATAGAATGGGAACACATTCAGAAAAAAGTCAAATATAGCTTCTTAGCTAATTAAAAAAAAAATGACAGTAAGCAGTTTGAAAAATAAATCAAAAAGCAAATGATCTGGCACTGATTTACTGGCATGAATGTTTTATGTAGAATCCCTGCTGTGTCCACAAAATGCTTCTAGCTATGGCCAAACCAGTTTTTAAAAATGTCAACACTTCTAGGATATTTTTTTTTCCTTTCCAGGATAAAAAGAATATATAAACAACAGTTTCCCTTATTAATTTGAAAATACATAAGTTCCTGAGCAGGCATACTAACTGGTGAACTTCATTTCATAACTAACAGCTGTACACAGCACTGAAACCACAAGCACAATTACCCGAAGTAGCTCTGCTTGCAAACTTCTGCGAGCTGATTTCTTTTCCAGCTTGTGTCCAGATTCTGAAGTGTTAGTGCCAGTCCAAGATTTGAGGTTTTTTGCATGGCAAGCTTCAGTCAAAGCCTTTGACCTGAGGCACAGAAGGCAGTCAGCTTTACCCCCCTGCAACATACCCAAGATATTCCCAGCATTAGAACCGCACTTATGAGCTTGATATAATTAGGCAGACAGACCTCAGACTCTCCTAATGCAGAAGGATAGCATCACTCATTCAGCACCCTTGTCTAGAGCCTATGTAACCATGGCAGCAGGATAGTGAAAAGGTCTCTTAATTATACCTTAAGTGAACACTTTGAACTACTGAACTATACGTGTTTATTTACAATCTAACTTAACTATGTAAGTAAGAGATTGTTCTCCCTAATTCCTCAGGAAAATGGACAAATCATCTAGAAAGGCATTCAAGGCAGGAATGTAATGTCATTCTGAGTTGTCCCATGGAAGTTTTCTGTCTCTTTCATCACTGCTATGAAGGTAAAAAAAAACAGGGAGATGAAATTCTCACACAGCCCTCCAGGTCAGCATTCAATTTAGGCAAAACAAATCATTCTACTTTGCTTATGGTATATTTCTTCTGCTGTTTGCAAGACATCCACAAGTAGTCCGCATAATTCTTGGGCATATTTATTAATGAAGACATCTGTTTGCATCCTCGTTATGCTTCTCTGTATCTTGCTGCCTCTCTGCTCTGGGCACAGACTTAGAGGATGTCTGGAAGTCCCAGAAAAGAGTCACTGTGCGTGTCTAGAACAAGTCTACCTCTTCAGTGTGCATTGCCCAATGAGCAGTAAGACTGGCATGTCTTCAGGGGTGCCTCACGTGTATCAGCTAAATATTGTGCTTGCAATAGGTCTGATGTGTCACCCCAACAGCGCTTGGGGCACAGAGGCGGTTCTGTGCCTCCGGACAATCCGTGAATGCCTAGCACACCTCATGTCAGACCCAATGCTTCCAGACCTGCTACCTGCAGATACACTTTTTAGGTAGTTTACACCATTCTGTGTGAAATTATCATATCTCAACCACCCGGTAAATAAGTCACTCAAGAAAAAGAGGTCATTAGGGTACCAGTTGATAAAGGCCACCGCTTTACCCCGCTTAAACTCATCCTGGTTGTAATCTGAGAGGAGTCAAATGTGAGAGTGCTGAAATAATGTTTCCCTGAGCTGAAATTAATGTGTGAATACCACCTTAAAATCTGATAGTCACATGCACAGAGATTTGATTTACCTGTATTAACGAAAATCATGTAAGAAGTTTAGCATATTCTGAAATGGACTTTCATGAAAAAAGGCATTTCTATTGGCATGATATTACAAGGTATCTTATTTGCAGTGTTTCTGAATGTTTTCATACCTAGGACTTATTTTAAGGAGGAATCTAGTAGTTGCCTGAAGGATAAACATACTCTGTGTGTTGTACAGAGGGAAAATCCCTTTCCTGTCTAATGTTGTTTGCTTCAACGGTAATTTTATAGCAGGCTAGTAAGCCGTATGGTGAGCAATTATGGTTTCCTAGTAGGAAACTACTAGTAGCTAGTAGGAAGCAGAACTGCTAACACTGTTGAAATAGGAGTCTGGATTTTTCTGGCTTCCCTTAAACAAAATTTACAGTCTCATTTCTCCCTTCTGAGGGAAAAAAAAAAAAAGTTACTTTATATTTCAACTGTGTAACTTTCATTTCATATTAAAATAAAACCAATAAAATGCATAAATGAAGAAAATAAAAATCCTGTGCCTTAGAGATAGTGAATATTACGTGACTTTGACAGTGGAAAGTTACTTTTGAAGTAAAATTACAGGCAAATATACTGTATTAACTACATCTTCAGAAAGGGGTGGGCAGATCTGAAAAAAATCTCAAAGTAGAATGTGACCCCTAAATTCTTTTGACAAGCTTTCATTTTTTGCAGACATTCTCAGAATTAAGAATATATTGTCTATCATGGTAGACTTGTAAACTTGGCATCTAAGGCCATTGGGGGTGAAGTAGTTGATTTCCTATGGTATTTAGCATAGAAATAATGCTATTTTTTTCTTACTTTCATGTTAATAGATTTTACATGTTTCTAGCACTATAGCATTCTCAGCTATGGCAAATGAATATGATATTAATATGCTTTGTATGATAATTCCCCTTAGACAAGCAAGAGACATCATTTTATGCTTAAATCTGCAATTCTTTCAAAACAGATCTGAGGCTTTTTCTTACTTTTTATGCTACAGAAGTCTAAGAGAAAGCTGCAATTTACACATACTTTGCTGGAAGCATGCATAGGTGATGATTATTTTTTTTTAACCCAAATGAAAATATTACAGTGGTGCAATCCATCTGTTCATTTTGCACCCCTAACTAGGAAAAATTATATGATGGCAGACATGCAATGAACTATTATGACTGTTAAAATCTAAAGAACTATGGTGAAAGTAATCATTGTTACTGCATTTCATCAATCTGCAACCAAGAAGAGAGTGTCTTTGTAATAAAAAGCAAAAAATCAATTGCTTGGTGAAGCCTATTTGTGCAAATAAGAGAAAATAAACTCACAATAATAAACACTTCCAATGAGGGCTTTTATTTAAATCACTCAAAAGGTAGCAGACTAAGAAACAATTTTGAGTGATTTAAATAAAAAACCTCATTGGAACTGTTTATTATTGTGAGTTTATTTTCTCTTATTTGCACAAGTCTAACCCTCTAGTTGCATTGTTACACAGACCATTTATTAATAGGAGTGGAGTTCATATTTTAATAAGAGAGAAGTTTAAAAGTAGAGGCCACGAAATTAAAATGTGCACCTGAAATCTGCGAGCAGACTGGCCTCAGGTTCAGGGCAGGCATGAGATGATACATGCAAGACTGCCTACTTCAAAACAAACATCTCCAGAAGTATTTCTTCTGTAGGTTTGATTGTTGTTTTTTTATTTCAAACTCAATAAAATTCAACAAACAGAAGGAATCTTCATTGCTTCAGACGCAATAGTCATAGATGAAATAATAGAAAATCATATTGTACAATTAAGGAAAACAAGCTTCCACTAGTAATCATTAGTGAAACTAAAGTCTGATTGTACAGAGACTTAGGAAATCAAATTCTAATTAATAGGAGGCTTTTAAAAATATTCCTAAACCAATTACTTGTTAGCTCAGAAAAGAAGGAAATGATAGCAGAGTCATGACGATTATTTGAACTAATTAACCCCCACTGCACAGTATGGGGGATGCTGCACTACTAGTGGTTCCACACTCTAGAATAAAATTTAAAACAGAATCTTAGAGATGTGCAGGCACTTTATATATATTTTTATAAAATAGTATGACTGTCCTCACAAAATAAAATTTAAAAAAAATATTCTATCCAGGTCCTTTGTTGTTCTCATAAACTCGTGTTATTGTACTAATAGGAATACACCATATGAATGCAACAGGCTCTGTCATGCACAAGGCTGCACAAAGAGGGCTGTACAAGCAGAACAAAAAAATCTTTGTCCGAGTAGCTCACACTTCAGGTATGAGAAGTGACAGACAGCAGGCAGATACTGTGAAGGAGTCAATAAAAGACATACGTTAGTGTGGCTTGGTGACCGACCATTGCTTCATTTGGTTTCTAGATCAAGCGAGTGCTGAGAAAAGTCTTGAAGGGTGTTAACAAGGTGGTTTCGTAGCCTCTGATGGACAGCTCTTCCCAGGCATGAGGGAAAGTAGCAAAGAAGGCAAGAAAGCATCTGTTAAGGTGACAGGAGGGTTAGTGGAGGCCAGGAGTCAACCCTTCAGGGCTGAATTAGTGAAGCAGTTTGGAGAAGGTGGATTAACACACATGTGGAAACATGTGACTTGTGTCCAACGTAACCCCTGAGGCAGAGCCAGTGAAGGTTGGTCAGAAGCAGTGGGAGGAAGACCAAATGAAATTGAAGGGGTAGGAAAGTGGACACTGTATTTATTGTGCCCACTGTCAGACTTCTGGTGTCATGAAGTGGAAGAGACCTTCAGATGTGTGTGCATTTAGTGCGCTAGACATAAACTCTGGGAATTCTCTTAACATTTCACTGCTTTTAACACCATGGCATCTTCACTAGTAGCATTCAAACTCTGTAACGTCCACCTTGGCAACTTGTTACAGAAGTCTCCTGTAATGCTGCACAGAGTTATGGGAGAACAGTAATTGCTGTGTTCCCCGTGTATTTTTTTTATTTTTTACTGTGAGAACATTCAGCTCAATATGATTTACATAACTGTATCATCCGTAAAATCATAACCCTTTATAAAAATGCTGAAGGTCTTTCAGGACTGAAAAGCATCACTGAAAGGTGCAGCTCAGGTAGGTACATGTTTAACTTCAATCACATAAGCACTTAAAGTCAATAATGAAAATGCTGTCTGTATTCACAGGTATCTGAGGTGTTACTACTGGGCGGTTCGTACTTTAATCACCATCGGGGGCCTTCCAGAACCAGTAACTCTGTTTGAGATAGTTTTTCAACTTCTGAATTATTTCTTGGGTGTCTTTGTCTTCTCCAGCTTAATTGGCCAGGTACTTCAAAAAATCAGTAAAACAGATACTTTCAAATTACTGTAATGTAATTATAATATATCTCATTTAATGGAGTTTAGCTCCGGAAAAAAAGTTAAGCTTCCATCTGAATGTCCCTCTATTTAACTATCATTCATACTTATTCTTCTGACAAATACATATGTTTAATCAGTTCCCTGTTTTGTAGCCCTTTTGCACAAAAGCTGATTTAAAGCCAAGATTCTGCAGGACATAGATGATCCTTGAAACTATGTATAATTCATTTTTCTTCCTCACAGCCAAGAAAACAGTTTGCTGACATTCACATTATACTGTTAAATCTGATATAAAAATTATAATTTTAAGTACGATAATAATATGCACAAATTATTGAATAAATCATGCTCAATACTACTGCAAATAGAATATTTTTAATCCCATGATTTTTGTCAAACTAGAATTCTGCTCTCCTCCACAAATTCCAATATTTTTGTTAACCTGAAAACTAACTGTTATCTATTTCTCTTGGTTCTCATTTGGCAGGAGGAAAAGAAAAAAAAGACTATAGCAGATCAAATCATGAATAAAACTGAAATCTTTCTGCCTTGTAACTATTAAATTTGGGCTTTAGATCCATATATTTTAAGGTATCTTGCCTGCATAAAAGCAAATGCCATGGCTTTAAAACACCTTGCCTACTGAAATACAAATGCCACAGTTCCTATGTGAGACTGCATCTTATTAGATTCCTGTAGAGATCATTCCAGACTTTTTGATTTGTACATATCTTCCATTGAAATAACTATTATGAAAAAATAAAGATAAAAACTGGAGTTTATTTTTTGAGTACAGGATTTGAACATTTCAACATTGTATATGTTTTGCTGTTTATAAGAGAGAACCATCAAGAAACAAACTCTTGCCTGTAGGATTTAAAATTCCTCCACCAACAAGAATTACAAAAAATAAATCAAAATATTTCATATAAAATATTTCTTCTGGAAAACTATTGAAGTATATTGGATTAAACTTCAACTAAAACTTTTCCTAAATTGATATGCCAATGAAAGCACCAATCCCTAAGATGATCCTGCTGATTGGGTTTTGTAACCAGTATAGTCATTTTTAGAATCAAACCTTAAACCTTTACACACAAACAGCTTCATCGCAGTTTGTTAGAATTCCTGTTTACAATGAGATCTTAAGATGAGTGAGTTATTCCTGCTTTTGCACACTTGCCTGAAAGTCACTATTCCTATCTTAATCAATTGCGTCTCTGTAATAAAGAACAGAGTTCAGCCCATCAGCACACCAATCCTTGGCAATCGCAACGTGAAGCCATTCTACTGAAAACGTTTCTGTAGAGTTACACTTTTGAAAAAGGAATGGCTATGAACTCATCTACTTTCTAAAAACTAGATCACATTCTTGTTGGAATTTTAAATGATGCTCCTGCACGAAAAATTCAAGGTCACCTTACAGCTCAACGTGCATTTTTAGGACTGATTTAGATTCTCTTAACTATTTAAATGGTGGCAGGATCTTAATTCTAGTGGTGCCAGCTGATGCTATTAGAGAAATTTAGTGCAGTCTGCTTCAGTTCTGACTTGCATCACATACTAAATACAGAGCAGCTTTATTATGGATTTTTAAGAAAAGCATTAGCTATATTTTTCATCCATGTCTATAAATATGAGACAGAAGAATTAAGCTAAAACCTGCAAATAATTCCTTTAAAATCATAGACTTACCAGCCCAACTGCATTAAATCTGTAATGCTTCTGAAACAGCAGATAAAACACCTATTCAAAACATGTCACTGAATGTATAATCAGTAAGCGATTTTGCAAACAAGTGGTTTATTCTTTTTATACATTTTTGACAAGCTATTCAAATCAAGACTATTTTTGATGAAATGTGTAGTAACAACTGATGTTTGCAGATGAGAGATGTAATTGGAGCAGCTACAGCAGGACAGAACTACTACCGGTCTTGCATGGACAACACTGTCTCCTATATGAACACCTATTCTATTCCAAGACTTGTCCAAAATCGTGTTCGAACCTGGTATGAATACACATGGGACTCTCAGGGAATGCTGGGTAAGGCTTTCCGATTCCAGTTACGTGGCAACTCCGAGTAAGAGTGGCGGTATAGATACAGATACAGGGTGAAAGTCACATTTCTCCTTTTCTGAACTGAATTCAAGAAGTGAGAGGAAGGTCTTCAATTTACTTTAGAAAAGAAAAAAAACCTCCAAAACACTGTGACGCTTATTGCTTCATAAATTTCATTAATTTTTGTAATGTTCTGGTTATAACTTTAGCCAAGGTACGTAACTTAAAAGACAGTATCTTAGTAAAAGCATATCAGCAGCTTCCTCATGTGAACTCGTAAATGTTAGAATAGCTCCATTAAGTTATTTTTCTCTATAATGTTCATTTTTATGGGTATTCTTTCTTTCTTACTTTATATTTTCTGAGTTTCTTCTTTCTTTTCTTTTTTTTTTTCCTATCTCTTTTACAGATGAATCAGAATTACTGGAGCAGATGCCAGTCAAAATGCGATTAGCCATTGCAATTGATGTGAATTTTGCCATTGTCAATAAAGTTGACTTATTCAAAGCAAGTACTTCTATGGGAGAATGGAGAAATGTGTGGTGTTCCTGAGATGGAAACCTTGTTTGGGGCATCTTAAAACACTTAAGAACATGTTTGTTAATATGCAAGGCAAAATAGGCGTAAGAAATATTTCAGTTAGCAGAGACATGTCAGGATAGAGCCAAGTATCTGCTTTGATTTTTTTGTGTCAGAGATTTTTAAAGAAGCAAGTGAGAGTAAGACACAGTCCTGTGATATTGATATACTGAAGCTGATGTTACGATCAGACCCTAAGTGACTTCACCGTATAACTAATCTCGAGTCAGACATAGAAGAATGTAATTTTTCATACAGTCCACCTTGCTGTATACCTCCCAAGCCTGCCTGAGAGATCACGGATGCTGTGTTTTGGTGTTGTGAATGCTACATTTTAGTAACTCTTTGTGCAAAGGAGCTTTCCAATTATTATCATGATGTTTTTCCAGAGATACAATTTAAATGTGGTATTTCAGACTGGATTTCTGATATGAAAAATGAGGACACACTGCATTTTTGGAGGTAGTCTTGACATACAGTAGCCTTAACACTAATTTTTTTGTTAGGATAATTGCAAGAAATCACAATTTCTAGTTTTAAACATTACATAGCTGCATGGTTTCAGCCACATTTGCTGATGATGTGGAATTGACAGATTTGTGCTAATATTTGACATGATCTGGTTTTGTCCCTGTATTGGTAAGAAAAAAATCACATAAAAGACCCATAAAGCTCTGAGCATAGTGCTCACTGAGCTTCCACAGCAGATTTAGATGTACAGAAGCTTACTTGGTAAACAATGAAGAGATGTTCAACCCAAGGAGAACTTTACAAGCATTTGAAATGACAACTCTGTCAGTCTTTTCTCTGCTCTAAAAGCTGATCCTTATGATGCTTTGAGTTTACATTCCACTTATGAATCCCTGGATCATTAATTTATTATTGGGTTTTGCTGCCCGGTCTAAGCACTAATAGTCACTTGTGCTGATGAATCTGTAAGCAATCAATTCTAACTATTTTAACAGGGGTGTGATACCCAGATGATATATGACATGCTACTAAGGTTGAAATCCATCGTGTATTTACCCGGTGACTTTGTCTGCAAAAAGGTGAGCACTTGTCTCTTTCCAATAATAATTATAGTATGTATTTTAGAAGAAGAGTTCAAATATCGGTCAACAGTGTCCTTTAAATAAAATTAATCCTGAGTGAATTAGATAGCATAAAGGTAATTAAGGTACTCTGTTTAATAATAACAAATGTGTTCTCAAATTTCAATCCAGAACAAGACAATATGGATTTTATTACTTACACTAATAAACATAAAACCATAGCAATAAGCAAAAGTATTTAATGTAAACATGGCCTATCTAATGATGCATCATGAAGTTTTAATATTTAAAATGAAGCAAGCTTCAATGTTTTTTACACAGTTATACATACAAACCTAGACTACAGACCTCAGTCGAGGATGATGTGCATGTGCCTCATTTGGTTACTCAGAAACTCTTAAGTGGAATCATCCAAGAATGTAGAAAATACATGGCTCCTTACAGCAGGATCTGATCTCGCTCTACCTTTACTCAAGCTCCGTGCCGTCTCCAGACATCCAGATGAATGCTGTCACAGTGCCCCTTAGCAAAGAAATCTGTCTTCTCTTAGCATTTTGGCCTGAACATGGCTTTATAGTAACACAGGTAGACAGTTCAGCTTCTGACCAAGTGAGCCCAAGTCTCTTTTCCAAAGACATCTAAACATACAGGCAGTGTTGGATGTAACTAAAGCATGCGGGGACATGAAGTATGAGTACTTTCCTGGCAAGTGACCCAAAGCTCATGCCACATCCATCAAAACCCCCTAACTTGTCTTTCGTAGTTCTGGTCCAGCATGTTCACTAAGATCCTGCTCCCTCCAAGAATTAAGCATATGAACCTCTTCCCAAATGCTGAGTTAGTCCAACTGGCTCCACAGCGTAGGAAGTCAAACGCTTGTGAATGCACTGAAGAGTGGGGTATGTCCCTTCAAAAACTAATCCAAAGCCCAAAGTTTTGTCCAAAGTTTTGAATTATGTTTACTCTTATTTTCTTTTTAAATTAGGTGAGTGATGATTAGAAGTAACAGTGTGAAAACTGAAGCTTTTTAAACCCCAAAGCATAGGGTTTTTTTCCCTTCTCTGTTATTACATACACCACTGGGGTATTTTAGTTTCCACCAGGACAGTCGATGGAAATGACTGCCACAGTCCTGGTTATTATCTAGTCTTCTTTTTCCAAGCTGGCCTAGATGGTCTTACTCCTCATGTTCAAATACTGTCCCACTTCACAATTAGAACTGCCAAAGTCAGTCCTTGTGGTTGTGCTCAATGCTCAGAAAAGTAGCACAAACATTTATTTATTTCTCCATAATTCCTGTACACCTGTTTATGAGTGGAAAGATATTTAAAGAAGACTTTGTCAGACTAGTCTAACAAAAAACCCACTTCTTTGATAAACACAGGATCTTTATGTGTTTGTGTGTCCAGGGAGAGATTGGCAGAGAGATGTACATCATCAAACAGGGTGAAGTTCAAGTTCTTGGAGGCCCTGATGGTACAAAAGTCCTGGTTACACTGAGAGCAGGAGCTGTATTTGGGGAGATCAGGTAGGTCCATCACTATTTTTAACACTTTCTTTAGAATCAGTCAAATTATCAGTGGTTGTTAAAACTTCTCTGTGAGAAGCGTGACAGCTACCACATGGAGGCTAGAAAGTGTGTAGGATCAACTAAGAGGACACTGAACAAGGAGATGCACGTAGTTGAAGGAAAAACTAGGTGAAGCATCAGAGACTAATCTGGCTAGATCTGAAACAAGCGTTTTGGGCAATGTACACAGGCATATACAGCCACGTTTCTCCTTCAGTGCTTAAAAGATTTAACACATATTGCTGTTCCAATGTCTACAATACAGCAGGACCAAATGCATTTTGTTGCCTGTATAGTGAGACTTGGTGCCCTTACACAGCAGATGGTAAAATTGGTAATTAATTTCCAACAAAATAAAAAAAATCTAAAGTAGCAAATAAAACTAGTTAATTTATGAGCCGAATAGGGATTAAGTTGCCAAAAATTAGGCATCCACATTGGAAAATATATTAGTTTAAGAGCATACAAAACAAGAAAAAGGCTGACAGACCAGATTTTGGGGTCTGAGTTTATCCAGAGGAGAAATTTTTTCTCTGGTGCCTGCAAGTGGTTTTTTTTATATTGTCCATGTGGTTGCTATGCAAGATCCATTAACTCTTATTTGCCATGTTCCCCAGTTAGCCAATCAAGTCCTAGTTTTTAGGCACTGCATCCCCTGCTGAGGTTGGCCTGAGGAAAAGTAATAAGATACATGTGCTGCTGCATGTGATAAACGAGATCCTTGATTTCTTCCAGCTGCCTTCCTGTTATTGCTAATCCTCTTGCTGGTAGCTTTAATCTGCCTTTTGAAAAGCGGTAATCAGCTCTGTGCCAGGTTTACATTTATCTTCTACTTGTGCCTCCCTTTGTAGTAGGGGAACGTTCCCGTTTATCCAGCGCTGCGCGTATGGAACTTGCTTAAACCTTAAGTGGAAAATACCTGATATATCCCATAGATACAGACCTTTTTCATGGAGTGGGAAAGTGGAAGAAGGTTATTTGAAAGGTATTTCTCTGTGTGGCAATATAATGCTTGAGCTGAGCCTCCAAACAAAATGCTACACTGTAAATTATGTGGAAAGGCTGAAAATGCAGTGATTTTTGGTAAGGGCTGAATAAAGAAAAGACAGAAGAAACTACAGCAGCCCAGGTATGTAACATATATACAGTTTTCAATTATTTATTAGTCTCGTACTTGAAACAAGGACTTTATTTTTTAAACTGAGAAATGATAATGATTAGTTTCAAACCAAGGAAGGGATTTTCAAACTTTTGATCTAATACATGTGAGCACTTGTTTTGACATGAGAAATACACAATAGCCTTTAAAGATTCATTTCCCAACACGTTACTCTTTACATAACTGCCAATACAGCCAGTAAAACCCTCAGCAATGCTATAACCCTACACTTCCAGTCTTGTTTTATTCATCATTGACTACTGCAGCAGCATACCTGTTCAGACACACATAATTTGCATATCAATGTCAGGCAGTGGATAAACGAGGAGAAAAGACACAGTGACTGGCAGACATTGCCAAAATTGAAGAAAAGCAATGACATGAAGCACTAAGTGTATCAGTAGAGATTTATCCTCTTCCTTGTGGCGAAGTGTTAGAAAATAATGAATTTGTATAGTGCCTTTTTATGTAAGTTTTCTCAAGGTCTTCTGAATACTGTAGAGCAGAAGCAAATGAAAAAATATATTCTTTAATAGATGAAATACTGCTTCATTTAGCACATCCAAGTTTTCCTCTCAGTATTCATAGCATGGTTATAACCTGATATCAGATTGATTTCCTTCTGATTTCGGATTCTGGATACGTTCAGAGAAATATGTCAGCTTCATTCCGAGTGGTTTAACTACATGATTTATAAGACACTTGCTATTTAATCTCTCTTCAAAATGCATGTAAATGGTGATTGAAAAGTCTCTGAGGTCAAAGGAGTTGAAGAAAAAAAAATGTTTATTTCAAAAAATTTCCCTCAATTATACTAGAAGGCGAATACAAGACTAAAGTTCAAACAAGTCCTTTGCTAATTTTATCCTTGAAAATTATTACAGAAACAGATTAAGTAATAGGAGTCGCCTTCCAGTTAATGTCTTAGGTTCATTACTGCTTTCCTGTATATACAATATCAGTTTGGGGAAACAAAATAATCTCAGAATCAGAGGCAAACAGATTGCTGTCTTAATGAGAGCCTATCTGCACAGACAATCGAGAAAGAGAGGAATTCAGTTATAACACAACACTTCATTAGCCCAAAGACATTTACACTTTAAGCCAGATGTCCTCATTCATCTATTTACAGATACTTCACTAGAACTATTTCCTATCAGAAAATGGTAATTCTGAAAAAATTAAAACATTTCTCCATTATATGTAATTTTTTTACAAGAAGATCTCTAAACGTTTGGTCTCAGCTTTAGCCTTACAGCTGTTTTGTAACTTTAACTTTTAGTTATAATCCAAACTACAGGGAGTATTTAGCTTCGTGAAAGATTACAGTTTCCACTTGGGCCAAGGATTTCTCACAACCTAGCAACTGCTGCTGCTTTTCAATGAGCTCTTCCCTTTGGTGTTTGACATCCTGATCAGAAGCAAGATCCAGATGTGCTTCCCTTTCCTGACGTAACCAGTTCTCTCCATATGCAGAGACTGCTGGGATGAGCCACCAAAACCCTGCATGGGCAGCTGTCAGATACACCATTTCCCAGATAAATTTCCTAATTTTAATGAACAGCACCTTCCTACAGAGATCAGCTGTTAAATTAATTAATTAAATATAAGCTGAGTCATCACTTTGACAACTTTATACCTCAAAATTAAATTTGCTAGCACAAGAATTCCAAAGTTATCATCTCATAATAATATTACAGCATTTTGAGGCTAAAAACTAGAGAAAAAAATGTAAGGTAAAAAAGCGCAATTTTGTCTATTAATATAGAAATCACCTTATCAAGAACCATTGCAAGGCAAATGTGGTTACTTTTAAAAAATTGGTCTACCATGTAATTCTTACCACACTAGCCAAAAGAAATTCAGTGAGTAAATCTGTAACCCTGTCCACAGTCATGACAATTCTGTGCCAGCAAGGACTGCCTTACTTGTAAAATTCACCTCACATCATCACCATAATGAAAAAGCTGATCTCTTTAGCTCTAGTCTGCCTTGATAAAAAGAGCTTTCTGTTAGGAAAGCCTGAAAATGATTGTTCAATGATTTGTTGAGAAGTGATTCCTCAGAACTGAAAAGCTGTTTGCAATTTTCTTTAGCTGCTTTTCTTATTGTGCAAATAGTTTTATTCTATCTGAGGAATTGTATGGAATTGCTTAAAAAGAAGACAATATACTGCATTTTCAGCTTGAGTTCATATATTGATCGCTGTCTTGGGTTGCAGAAAAATACTCTGTGTGTATGTATAAAATAGCCTTGTACACACAGTTGCAGAGGCCTTATACTAATTGTTATACATAAAATTATCTGCATGATCTAGTCTTTAAAAATATGTTCCATAAATTTATTTAATATTAAACCAATATTTATATATCCTTGATTAATATTCTAGATAAGAATTAATTATTTTTTGAGGTCCAGACTATCCTTTATTAATTAGTTTAAAATTTAGAGATTACTAAATATCCACTAAAAATATTAACTCACTTGGAAATGTTTAAGGGATGAATTTTAGGGTAGATCTCCTTGAATATAATGATAAAGCAATTTTAGTACCAAGACCAAAATGCAACTTCTCTTGCTTATCACCACTGTCAAGAAGCGAAGTCTCTTCCTTTCACTTGCTTGAAGCAAGATGAACAATTTAATTTTTATTTGTACAACATCTAATTTTTACATGGAGATCCTTCCTATGGCTAACTGCTGCTTGCTAAGCTGGTCTAATGCCTTACTTTCAAAAGAGCCACCTTTTACAGGCTGACACATTTGTAACTGTCAGCCTGAAAGACCTTCCTAATCTGTATCATTCAAGTTGCCAACATTCAAACGTGAGATGTGGTACCTGCGAAAACGTAAAACCAGAATCCCACTCAGGATTCACTCAGGAAAATTAAAATTCTTGCAGAATCATTCATTCATTGTAAATAACTCTTGCAATAATAACTGACTTGCACTGCTCTGCTTCTGATGTAAATAATTTTCAATAATAAAACTGAGGAAATGCCAAGTTCACATGAGGACTGAAACAAATGCAGTCCTTGCAGTGAGTGTCTCATGAGAGAAATGTCTCCATCGAGCAAGACTTTCCAAAGTCCTCTGCATCTACATATGCCTGACCAATAATGACAATCTGCCTTCCAGAGGCAAGAAGATATCTCTAATCCCAACTGTAAAGGGCCTTTACAGAACAACAGAACATTTAGTTCTATCCATATAGTTCCAACAGAGAAGTTGGGTACATAAGTGAGCTTTATGATGACTTTAATGGAGAACTACCAGCAAAGAAATTCCTCACTAGGGCAAGTAATGATGTGACTGATGATGTTTTATTTTCATTCCAGCCTATTAGCTGCAGGTGGAGGAAATCGAAGGACTGCCAATGTGGTGGCTCATGGTTTCGCCAATCTTTTCATTCTGGACAAGAAAACACTCAATGAAATCTTGGTGCACTATCCCGACTCAGAAAAACTTCTCATGAAGAAAGCAAAGTATGTCCTAATAATAGTTTTCGAATCACATTGTTTAGCTGCAGAAGCTGAGGCTTCTAGGTAGGCTTGCATTCCTTTCTCAGAAGAGTCACAGATGTAAACACCTCTGTATTTGGAGGTCAGATTTGCCTGGTGGCATCTGGTGGAAATCATGGTCTTGGCAGGGGTTCCAAGGGTTGTGGAAACATGATAAGTTGAATGAAGTCCTGAATGTAGTTACCTTCTCCATCACACGTAAGGTAAGAAAACATATAGGAGATACACATGCACGTCAGGATTCCTCACACAGGCAACTGCAGGACAGGTGTCTGTTAAGGAGTAGTTTTTCAATGATGCAACTGAACACTCACAATTAATTTGACAGAGATATGCTTCAATGTTCCCACAGATATACATTCCCAAAACCTTAAGAAGTAGTAAAGAATGGATTTAAACTAAGGACCAACAAGATGAAGTACACGGATTAGAGTTATGCATTTTGCTTGCAAGGTTTCTGAAATAGGATTTCAAACCCAAACTGCTTTTCATCTTGCTTTGGCTAGGATTACCATTTCTCCAGCTTTGAAAGGAAAAAATATTGTCAGATATTGTAATAAAATTATGACAGAATGAGTACCTTGCTAACTTGTAAAAGGTCTAAATACTTGAGCAGTTTGTCATTATTAGTATACTTCAGGACTCTTGTGTTCTCAGCTGTTGCCTTGCACTGCTATCAAAGGCTGGAAGGTTGCTCCCAAACTTGAAATTCCACCAGAGAAGACTAAACATAGCACAGGAGTGACATTTTGTTTAGTGGAAGTGCTAGCAGATGGTTGCATTCAGCATATTTCAACAGCCCTGGTTGTTAGATGACAGAATAATCACATCCCTAAGAAACAAGGAACCTACACACAGAATGGGCTGATTGCCCAGTTTTCAAAACCAGCATCAACAGGAAGGAGGTGGAACAAATCCACTGATTGATGGTCCCCATCATTTATCCTTCCTGACTTTTCTCCAGCTTCTTTCTAAACAATTGCATGACCATCATTACTTGTTATTCCTCTCTCTGCCTATCACTACCTTCTTCTGCTTTCTTGTCCACCCTAATCATAACCTGCCAAGACATTAAATTCTTTTTCCTCCAGATAGCCTTTCTCAACTACAGGACCTTAATCATACATCCTTCATATCAACATTCATTTCAGCTCAGAGCCCTCTCTAGATAATCAGATTAGATACAGGATACCCTGTTTAATTTTAAAGATATGCAGTACTTGCTCTGTGCCAGAGGCCATGTATTCTGCTCACCTGTTTAGGCATCCAGTAATCCTTCCAAAACTCATGTGGTCTATGTATGGTCAGGCATGTCTCTGGAAAAACTAGGCACCAACAGGAAATTTGTGCACTGTTCTCATAAAGATTGCAGTTATGTTCAACTTTGGAATCAAGTTATCAGTCGCTTTACCCTGGATGGTTTTTGTTAAGAGCTCTCTGTGGGATTGCATTTGCCTTTAAAGTGCTCCTTGAAATAAACTCAAGGGATTCATTCAAGCAAGAAATTTGTTCTATTATCACCTGCCTGATAGTCACTGTACGGTCTTTACATAATAAACTCATGCAAGCTGCTTAAGTGTACTTTTAAAATTTATAATAAAACTTTTTTTTAAAAAGTAAAATCTTCACTTTTTGAATTCCTCAAGTTACAAAGTACAAGATACTGAAGAAAATTATAGTATTATGGAATTTACAGTTCTTCAGACTGCAATTATAGTCCTTGTTCATAAAAGGCCTTAAGTCAGGACTTTTCCAAGGATAGAAAAGTTGCCTTGAAAACTGCACAGTGACCTAATAAAAACTGAAAACATGAGAACCCTCTGCTTTCCACTGGCTCCAGATAGTTCTATCTCAGAACTGTCATCTAATCTTTACCCTTGTCGTTCGTTCTCACTTCTTGTCATTACGGCTGCAAATCAGTACAGCTACGGAAGGGTGCGAAAATCTAGTCTGCCACATGATTGGCAGTAATTTTTATATCTGCAGGGTGTCTTCTTCTACTGAAGAAGACCAAAAATAAGTACCACTGTCTAGCCTGACCTATGAGCCGTGCTGGAAGTTAGTTTAGTAAACTCTTACTTCTGCAAGTGTCAGCTGGACTCCCAGATGAGCATTAAACCATCTCTGAATTTGCATGCAGAAGGCCAGGTAAGAGACTGTCACCTCAGGTACACAGCATCTGTCTCCCTCCATACTACTTCTCACTTTAGAAAACTCTCATCTGCTTTGTGACACCTTAATTTGAACCTGCACTGCTTTATTCTCAAAGATATAAATAAGCAACTCCAAATTTGAACGGTAGCTTCCAACTCCACCAGAGCCTAGAGTAAAACCATTACCTCTTCCAGCTTTGCTTTTGCCACTGAAGCTGGGACACACACCAAAAAAAAAAAAAAAAAAATTTGACTGGAAAAGCCGCCAGATTTGCATCCACGAATGTGACATTTTAGCTCTGCAGCAACTTCGTTCGGTTTCACAGCACTGCTGCATGTTCTCATTCCTTCCCGTCTCCAGGGTGCTGCTGAAAGAGAAGGGGAAACCTCCTCCAGGGCCACCAGTGCAACAACCCCGGGGCTTGGCCAGTCTTTTTGGAACGAAACAGGAAACACCCAAATTGTTCAAAGCAATGCTTGGAGGAAAAGGGAAGGAGGGTCTTGCTCGGCTGCTGCAGCTGAAGAAACAGCAAGACACTCAGGTAACGCTACAGAAAATCACAGTAGATTCTTCCAGGTGCTGAAAGATACCGGGAGGGCTTAGAAAAAAAAAGTAGATGAAAATGTAGCCTTACTGTAATCTGCAGTAAAAATTAACAGTAGCTGAGATATAATGCCTATACCTAATCTCTGTAAACACTAATTCTAAAATCTGGCTCAAATCTTCCCAGACCTGGACTCTATGCAGAGCAGAAAAAACAAAAGAAAGAAAAAGGAAAGAAAAAAAGCAAGCAAATAAAGATCCCCAGAGAAAGTACGGATAAAATAGACTTTACAAAGACCCTGCGGGCATCTAACCTTCTAATTTTATGTAAACAACAGTAAATACAGATATATCTTAAGACAGTAATCTGACCCAGCAGACTCAAGCACATGGTGAACTTTCCAATTCAGAGTCAGATCTCTGGTTGTCACAAATCCTGAAGATAAAATGTAAAGTGTAGCCCACATAGCAAAAACTGATTAAATCTCTACTATATTGCACTTATGAGAAAACTGTTACTTTAGTTGATGAAAAAATAATTCCCACATTACACTCTGTTCTGAGAACATTCTCAGTTCTGCATATTAACCCAAAGGTGGCAGAATCCTTTTCTATCTTTATAGCTGAACTGGCTGTGGTTTTATTTAAAGTTGAACACAAAACTTTGCTTACACAAAAGAAGAAAAATTTGCTCAATTTAATGTGTATTTCTGATTTTAATAGCGAGTAGGCTTGGCCAAAGGAACTGTTTCATCCTGCTGTATTAAGAAGGAGTAGATACTATCGCTATCCACAAGTTTTTGCTAGGTTTTATGTCGGCATTCTGATTCTGAAATTGCACTTTTAATTTAGAAATGGATTTTCGGCATCAAAACACAACTTTACATATGTTGCATACCCTTACCACAGTATCCATGCTGTGTTTTTCCACTGCATGCATAAAACTACTTCCTGAATTTCTTCTGCAGCACTAGAGAACATTTAACTTCTTGTTTCTAGGAATCTCTTGCTAAAGCAGAGAACAAGCCCGAACAAGAGGAAAAGAAACCTGTGGAGCCCGCGGCCTCATCTGCGCCACCAGCACAAAAGGAAGAGCCGAACAAAGACACTAAGCCTAAACCGGCAGTTATGCAGAGAGCAACCTCTAAGGAGTCTCTGATCATTAGTATGTCTCCATCCCCTAAAGCAGGAGAAGGAGAGATCCTTACAGTTGAAGTTAAAGAGAAGAAATAAACAGATTGTGCTTTGGGCTGTGGCCCCGTTGTCTTGCTGAATTCAGAGGGCTAGCGTGACTTTTGAGTATAGAAGATAAAAGTAGAATCTACTCAAGAGAAAAATCTAGCCAACTCCTTCTCTTCCTCCTCTCCTGACACACATTGGACAAATTATCGATATACTTACCTCTTAACATTGAGCATGAAGAGAGAACTTTGGTGTAATAAGAATTAGACTGTATTTCTGGACCACCTGTTTCTTGTTTGATCCATGCTCTCTCTTATCTCTTACTCTGTCTTGTTCCTGTTTCTCCTCTTGCCTCTCCTGTTTATCCTCACATTCTTATTGATGTTCCTGTTGCTAAGTTTGCTCTTAATTTTTTTATGTGTTCTCTTCTATTTTCTTTTCTGGTTTCCCATAGTTATCCTTTTCCTTGTTACTGCCCTATTGTTGCTGAGGTTACTTATGTTTCTCTCAATACTTCTCTCCCCTCCCCTTGTACTTCTGATCAGTGACCTGCTTTTGTGATCAGTGGCTCAGTGCAGAAAGCTGTGATGCTGTCCGTTGGCATGTTTTAGGTTGCGACAGAGGGCTACAAAACAAAACAGTTGTCAAAAAAATAAAATCAGAAAATCCAGAAGGTGGAAGCAGATAGCAGAACTATGGCCAGCCCTCTGAAAGCACCAGCATCTGTTCCAGTTGTGTCTGGTGAAAAAACATGACAGAGACTTTGATATTTTCTCTCCCCGCCCCAGGAGTGACCTTTAAGTTTGGGCTGTCAATTCACATGCTCAATTTTCTCAAGGGGCTGGGGCTCTGAAGAGCAAGCAGTTGATACTAGGTAACTTTCTGAAGAATCTTGGTACCTAAACTGGCAAAAATAAAGGCTGTTTTACAAAAAGCAGAATTTACATGTTCTGGCTCTGTGGTGCACAGTTTCAACCAATGCTCCAGTTGTTCACCTCCACCACAGGCTCTGATCAATGGTGCAAAGTGAACCTTGTGCCTCGCTGGGGCTGAGCCACGTTGTACCTGTGAACTGAAGTAAAAGAACGTCACAGCTGAGAGCGATACAGCTTCCTGACAAGGAACTCCCACGCTGTCAACCTTCTGCACCGACTCTTCACAGAATGGGGTGCAGTATTAAATAGAAGGCTGAAACTGTGTTTTAAGCTTAATTTTCAATTTTTTTCTCTTCCCTGGGCTTGTGTCTCCTCTCTCTCCCCGCATCCACTTTCAGTCCCTACTGGATGAATGCTTTTGGGAACTAAAACTATTATGCAGAGGCCAGGCCAAGAAATCATAAGGGCAAGCTTCATAGCTCCTCAGCTCACCAGCTGACCAAGGAAGGCACCATGCCAAAATTAAACATTCACTAAGATCTTGCGGGCCATGCATTCTGCAGGCCTGTTCTTTATAGCTTCTAAACTTCTCTAATCACAGGCAAAGCTGGCAGCCAAACCACAACCAGGGGGAGCTTTGCCTGAGTAAAAACTTGATAATTTAATTCCAGATGTTGTATATTCCACACATCCTCTGACGTGATCAAAAAACAAATCTCTTTCAAAAAGGAAGTTCTGCCATATTAGCAATGAGGCCAAGGTTCAACTGCTGCAAGGGGAGAATCATCTCTATTTGTATGTTACTTGTTATTGAGATATGTAAGAGAAAAGGATGTCACAACAGATGTAAAAACTGGTAAGAGGCATCATAAAGAATTATTAAACTATGGCTAATGCAGGAATGTCTCAATACTATCTCAGAAATATTGCAGAACTGTTTCACAAATGAGGTATTCTGTAGGTAATGATGAATGAATTCATTAAAATACACAATTTTCATCTTTTTTTTTTTAAAGAGTTGTCAAAACATTATGGATGGGGGACAAAAACATAACCCCCTGTATTTTCTTTTTAATGAGTAAAGCTCTCCTTCACTGAAAAATATCTGATCCCCTTCTACCTACATAAATGCTACCAAGTAATTTCAAACATTTTCACAGTTTGCATATTAAAGTTTGCCAATCACATACTGAGATATATTACGAGATAAGGGCTGAGACTGCAGCAGCAGAGCATCCTGGGAGATGCTGTTTTGCTACAACTCTTAACAGCACGACAGGATTGCAGGGAAGCCTGTCAGTTCGGACTGCAAAGTTACCAAGTTATGCCCAGCTCTCGAGTTCCTTAGAGCCAAAATAAGAGAAGTGCCAGTGTTGGCAAAAGATCCTCACCACACAGCAGTAACATCTCTCCGGTTTTCTCTGACGTCCTACTTTTCTGTTGTTGCCCCTTCCCACAATTCCTCCATATTTGGGGTGGGCAACAGGTAGGAAGGATCCAGGAATCCAGGTTGCAACTCTTTATAGGTTTTCACCAGAAGGAATGGCACAAGAAAGGTCAAGACGTAAGATGTAAGAAATCCTTTCCGAAACTAATTTTACCCTGTGGGTTCTTGACTGGTGGAAAACTTGAATGAATTCCTCTAGAGCACCTAGAAGAAGACTTCCAGTATGAAAGCTCACTCAGATTCTGTGTGGCATCACGCTTCGCTGCAACACGTATGTCTCCAGTATCTCTAAGCTTCCCAATAAAGCATCTCAGATGTGACTACACTTAAACGTAAGGAAAACAGGGAATGGAGGACAATGTATTTGAAAACTAAAACTAACCACATCTTCACACTCCCTGTTTAAAATGGAGATGCTGTTCTGAAAACGAGTTTTGGAAAACCTTATAATAATTGCAGGAAATAGCATGAATTTTATGAAATAGCATGAACGAGAGAGGTCTAATGTGGCAAAGAGCATGAAACAATCACTTCTAAAACCTTTCCATTTCAGAATATCTTCTTGCCAAAAGGCAGTATGAAATGCTATATGAAATATAAACTGCAGATTCATAACCACTGAGGTATTTTTCCTCTCATCTGATAACACTTGTTATAGATCTGAGCTGTTCAGCCTGTGGAATCATAGGAACTGCACAGAAAATGTTGAATACAAAATTACAATGGAACAACAGTATACTGAAATTACACTTTTAATGCATAGGCACTGTAAATCAGTTAACTTCATCTGAAATGAAATACATAGGAAAGTAAAAAAAATCTGGTTACAGTTTATGTCTCTACTGTACATATGTATATATTATGACTATTATATGGCAAAAAAGCATCTTATTACAAAGACTGCTATACATGATTTTTATCACAAGGTGGTGCAAGTGACCTACAAGCACATTCACTTTACAAAAAAAACTTTTGACAGTATTTTGCTTTGTCACTCTTAAGCTATTAAGGCTTTTTTTTTACATGTAAAAATAAGCAAACGAAAAATGGCAAAAGAACACTGTAACTCCCATCCCCCTTGACTCACTATCTGCTGCATTCCTTGACTCAGAATATTTCATCAGCTTAGCTTGGAAATTTCCAAGTTTTTCAACAGGCATTAGCTGTACCTCAAAGAGAAGTTATACCTGGAAAACAACTCTTGCCACTCTCAGGTCTAAACACTTTTTTTCTACATAGGACAGGGCACATTGTGGAGTAGGTGTCGCTGATGTGTTATTTAATTTCCCTAACCTTTGAGAATATGTGAGCACTCTTCTAAAAAGACCTAATGAATTTGCTACTGCAGAAACTCAGAATTTATGTATAGAGTACAGACAGAAGGTTTTGTTTTATATGCAGCAGACGTTTAGTATAATAATGCCTATTGAGGTGCTTAGATACACCTCCATGGCAACTTGGAACTGGGAACAGAACTCCGATGCAGTATCATATTTTTGGCAGACAGCTCAGAACTTCAGTAGTATCCTGTACTCCTATGAGTAGTACCCATCCCCTTCAACGAATCTAGACAAAGCATTAACACTGCATCCAGTTATCTCTACACATGGAGCATGTAGCTGTGAAACAGCTGATTGTTCCACAAATCATATAAAATCAATTCATAGCAGTGTGATTTAGGCTCATTATAACTACCTTCCCTGACCTTAGAATTTTGTGTTGCATATCTGGCACGACACTTCATTATAATTTATGTATAGAGTAGCAACATATTTACACAGTGCTCATAAAAAGATGTCTGTAATTTTTTTTATAAACACATGAATTAGATTTTCTAAAAAGAAACAGTGTGGCTTAATATGAAACGGAATCTCCTCCTTAGCACACCCCTATTAAACTATTTAGGACCTCTTCCACCAAACGGAGTAGAGAACAACATATTCATTCATGATTGAGAACTGGTCAATTGCCTACAAAATATTTGGTATGTTTTACAGGGTATGTAAGACACTCTCAATACACACATCTTTCAGCCATCATGGTTAATGTGAATTCAAATTTTTGACAGCATTAGGCACATATCTAAAAAATAAAAACCAAACACCACATCAAAATCACACAGAGCAGCTCCAGTAACTAAAAATGTCACATACACTATGACCTGGTGCAATCTTGAGTGCCCCAAAATGTTAAATTTAGTGTCCATTTAGCGTCCATTCTGTTCTTACATGTTAGAGCTAGTCTATCCAGAATCGAATGAGTGGGATGTCTACCTCGAAACCACTTCAAATGTGAAATGTCAAAATTACTGTTCCAAGATGGGCAATTTGGAAGTGATAAATGAAACCTTCATATCCACTTAGGTTACACACATTGATGGGATCAGAAGAGATCCACAGCAAGCAGTATGCAACTGGTAGACAAGAAAGCTTCATCTGTCAACTAAGCAAACACAAAATGGTGTAAATGGTGAAGAGAAAACTCAACCCAAGAAAATAAATCAGAAATTGTTTCCCCTGAAGGAATGCAGTATGACTATAAGATTAGAGCTTAGAGCCTTTCTTATGTCTTCGTACTGGGGGGGAAGATTGGGGTTTTTGCAGACATATCCATTAGCAGGCTCATGAAAAAGAAGCATGGTTCAAAATATGACAAAACTAATACAGGTATCACTTTCAAGAAGTGCCTTTGAAAATATGCAGTTATAAATCAGACAAAAGTTTGGACGAAAAAGTGAATTCCCACTTCACAAAATGCCCATTTCAGATCAACAGTCACGACAGTAAAAAAAACCCAAACCACAAAACCAAATCAAAACCCCCAAGTAAAACAAAATTCAGAGTTCCCATTTGCCAGCACAGTAAAACACACTCACAGCCTTTACAGTAGTAGCAGTCTCAAAAGCCGACAGGATTCTTCCGAGATGTTAGAAGTTTATCTTGAATCACCGTAGTAATATCTGTACTACTTTAAGAGACTGCATAATATAACAGAATACATACTTTAAGGACTTGTTTGGCTCATGCTCATACAGCCCTGAATCCCAGGTACTGGCTGAAGGCACTGAAGCGGCAAATGTTAAGTAGGCAGGCAAGGAGGGCATTTAGCTCTGTTCTGCCACCTGCCTAATCATAAAGCTCCCATGTCAAAATTTTGTTTTGGTGGCTTAAAAAAAGCTCAGAAGCCTGAAGTATTCCAAATTCACTGAAACATATACAGATTTTTATCTGCTTGGTGAGGATACACCCTCTTTTTCATTTCATTTCAGGTTTTGTGATCACTGAGAAACTGCAGAGCTTGGTGATGAACTCTACAAAAGCAACAGAACATTCCCACCAGCCATAAATATCAAGAAGGCAGCTGTTCCACTTCCAGCCGCTCTGCCTCTTCTCTCTATTCAGCCACTTTTTTTCCCCTTCCTTATTTTTTCAAAATAAAATGCACCCACTTAAGCCCTATTTCTCCAATCAGCATCAAATATTAACACAAGTACAATTTCGCCCTTTGAAAGGCAGACTTGGCAAAGTGATTTGCAGGCAAAAGCTATCCAACATTACCATACAGAGGTGCGTGTATACAAGTATACAGAAGTATCTTGCAAACCAAAGTCTGTAGATATAGCAAGTAAAGCAAGCCCAAAGTCTCAGCTTCCCTGCTCAGCCCATTCACTCTGCAGCAGGATTCCTAGGAGGTTGCAGTTTGTAGGTGCTGAAGTAGTTCACCACTTGCTGCGGGACTTCTGCCAGGACACACTGCGCCAGAGCTTCTTTTGGAGACTTATAAAAAAAAAGAACACCAAGTTTTAGTTTCCACCAACTGTTAACAGAGATCCTAAGATGGGTGATAAGCACCTTCTCTATGAGGCCAACATGAAGCATGGCATTTGACAGCGGACTTTGCACGGTGCCCCTGTGGGACAGATGGAAGCTTCCCTGGTATCTTTATCTTCCCACTCCCATTACCACGAACTAGCTGGCTGCCTCGTTCCAGTGAGGAGGAACTGGGTGTGCAAAGGGCTGTCATGCTTGAAGACACCTTTCATTACATTAAACACACACACACACACACACAAACGCAATGCAGACAGGGAACTTCAGTCATGTAAACGCACGTCCACTATCTGCTTAAGATGACCCCTCAAGAGCTCTTCTAATCCATCCGCAACCTTTTCCACCAAGTCTCATCCACAGTAACTGCATCACTACAGGGAGGCTTTTCTAGATAGTTTTTACTGTAAGACTAAGTATCCATGCAAAAAAAATAAAGCATCCCTTTTTCTATAAGTGGGAAGCATTTGAACATATAATTTTATACTCAGTATTGACAAGGAGTTAATTTTCATCCAAGTGCATTATTCAGTGAGCATATTCTGTATTGACTTTGCTATCCTCCTCCTTTCAGTTTGCCTGAGTTTCTCTGAGATTAAACAAAGAACTTGTATCAAAAATAAAAATTCAGAGTAAGAATGTATAAGGAGTATTATTAATGGCTTAATAATAAGAATCAAACCAAAATTAGAATATATTAGCATTGAAATAAAAATACTAATTATTTAGGTTTTTTAATCAACTTTTTTTCAGCAATATGACATTTAAAAGCCAGACTGTACTAGCCTGTCCATTTTACTGGGCTCTACAGCAAAAAAAAAAAAATCAGGACTCCATTCTTTCACCACCTATTTTTTTGGTATAGTTGTTCTAATGGTAAGGAAAACTATCCCCACTACTGTGCCCACACACAATTTCCACTGGTAACAACCTCTCTGATTTAGCCTTGAATTTTAACACTATAAAGTGAGACTAACCTGCATTTACAAATGGGCAATTACAAATAAAAAACACTTTGGCATAAGAACAAAACTACAGTAAGTTCTTCCTCCCAAATGAAAAAACACATCAATTTATTTAATCAAGTCTGAGGGAGATTTACAAAGGCAATTCCCTTGCAGCAACTTGTCAGAAATGCAGTGCTGAAATCAGAAGGAGTCTATTTAAATATGAATCATCTTACCTAATGGAAATTCTACCGATGCTGACGTTTTCTAATCTTTTTTTTTCCAGCATTTGATAAAAATTTATCTCAGACTTCCGACTCCATTTTAGAGACACTGTAAAAGCTTAGGACTATACATAAGATATCCTAGCAAAACCAGCATATCTCTACAATAATTAAGTGCACAATTAAGATTACCTACATTTTGGAACTTCCTGAACGGCACAAACTGGACAATGTCTCTGACAGCTGGTTCTCCTGATGAGGACCTAAGAACTCCGTTGTCACCATCAAGAAACTCCATAGCATCGAAGTCTGCTCCTCCAACTCCAACGATGATAATGGACATGGGCAATTTTGAAGCATTAACTATGGCAGTTCGAGTCTGATCTAGGTCTGTTATCACACCATCCGTTATGATAAGAAGTATAAAGTATTGCTGCCAAATCAATAAACAGTGTGTTATGACAAAGAAACAGAAAACCTGTAGGCAGGTACACTTAGAAAAATGCACATACAGACTACATCCTGATGTTGCTCCGAGCATAGTCAATGCACTTACTCCATTTTCCAATTACACATCTAAGTTATGGTCAGGCTTCATCTGTGCAGTCTGAAGACAGTATAAGCACAACATAAACAATCTTTTAAAATATCTTTAAACAGCTACCTCCCAAAAACCCAATGGTATCACCCTTCTCCCCCTCTCCGAAATTTCCAGATAAACCTATCTTCCAACTATTTGTCCTGGAACAGAAGGCAGGTTACTGAGGTTTTGGACAGGTAAGACCCGTGAAACTTGTATTTGTTTCCTTCCTGGTCTATCAGTACCATTATGAAGTCCTATTCTGTGCTTCATTCAGTTAAGAACAAATTAACAAAAGAGTGATAGCTAGGATAATGGAACGGCCCTACAATTTTTTCAGTGTATGTCACATTAAAATGCATCCTTTTGTGCTGAAAAACAGTACGCCCATTTTCAAACTCCTTTAATCATGTTTTCTAGCTGCTTTATGAAGTTAATTACCAAGGCATCTGAAACCACCTTGCAGTACTTCAGTAATTTAGTCAAATAGCACTTCAGTTGCTTCCCCTGTACTGCCAGGGCTTCTAAAGGTTGGCATCTTAGCCTCTGTTCTCCACTGAAGTGCCAAGAACAAACTAGAACTACAAAGTTCAGAAACTATCAAACGCTTTTTGAACTTCTGGTCGACTCTCACTTGCTTCATTTCAGTCAACGACTGGGCAGCACAAATCCAAGTTCCAAAGGTAGTCCCAGTATTCTCAGAAGTCCCCTCTTCAGTACTTCACTTCCTATCCTCCCTTATCTGCCTCCAAAATAATTAGTTTTCCCCTTATCTGCTGTGTTCAGGTATCACCCTTTCTCATATTGCTCCCCAGCCCTTCATTCCCCGACTCCAGCAGAAATGCCTACACAGCGACAATGATCAAATAAGGCTATAACCAGCAGCCTGATAGCCCATCACACTGGATTTCTCTCTCTCTTCTTCTATTTCCTCTACACTGAAAAAATTCCCAAAACACCCAGAACCAAAACCCAAGTAAAATATTTATGATACACATTAAAAGGCAAGGCAGCAAAATTTCTTCAATACATCCATTCAGGCAGAAAATCTGTATCTCTTGCTAGGTATATTGCACTCTCAGAAAAAACAAACAAAAAACCACCAAAAACACCTTACAGGAGGTTTTGCTACTTTCCTAATATATATACATAGAGAAGAGATGACAGTTACTACTGAAAGACTACAAAAGCAAAATCTTATAAACCTCTTGACATATGAAAAATCAATAGCTCTTTTCCAAATAGCTAATTTTATTCTCTGCTTTTACATCATGTCTAAGACACCAGTATCTGTTATCATCAGTGACTTATGAAATATAGGGCTTCACATTTGTTGAACTTGCATGGATTGTTATCTAAATGATTCAATACTCTTGCTTTTCAGGGTTCCTCTTTCTTCTTATGGTAAACAACTCGTGCACACAATTTTAATAGGGAGGAGGGCACAGAACACACAGCACCTAAAGCTTTATAGCACGGACAGTTGATTACCTACGTTGGTACCTAAGTACCAGGAGCTATATCCTCCATTTCTTTGTTACATTACTCATTAGAGTGTGGTGCTGCAGGTTCAATCCCCACTCGGTCCCCATGTGTTGCCTGATTTAGTTGAGAGGTGTCCCTGCCCATGGCAGGGAGGTTGGATTAAATGACCTCTGAGGTCCATTCCAGCCTAGGCCATTCTATGATTTATCTCTGAGCTCTCTGATGTGAAACAAGGTCTAGTCAATTTTTCTCACCTGAGGTTAACTCACTTTCCTATATGAACTGGCTTAAACTACACTTTAATACTGTACAGCACTGCAAGAGCTTTGAATAGAAGACACTATAAAGACACCACATAATTTTAAGCTGATATTACAACTCTGAAGATTTTATTTAGTTAATTTAGTAGAGAATTGTTATGTACAATCTGTAGAAATCAGTTATTTTTTATCTCATTTTAAGGGTACGAAACAATCCACAATGGCCAGCTGTCTAAACAAGTACACTTACAAACTTAAAAAAGTAGTAAACTAGAAAGGAGAGAAAAAAGGAAGAAAAATACACACTCTACCATACAGAACTTACAGATGCTGTTTGCTGTTGTGTAGCTGCAGCAGCAAATCTTGCCACATGATTTATAATTGGAGAAAAATTTGTTGGCCCATATAACTTCACTTGAGGAAGACAAGCCCGATACGCATCAACAATGCCTTGGATCCCTAGAGAACACAAGCAGATCACATTAATTTCTTCATATTAGATTTAGGATATTTTGAAGCACTCTATCTTCCTAACATATTGTATGTATTAGTTATTTAAAGTGATGATGCGAAGATTTAAAACCAACCATGATGAAAAAAAAAAAGACTCGCAAACAATGGAGGCCTTCAGCTTGACCAATGCTAATGCACGTGCTCAACATGCTATGTGACTAGAAAGGCCAAATGCTCGCGAATAGAAAGGCCACGCTCAAGTGCACAAAACTGAACTACAACAGTTCTCTTCATCTTGCAGCCTGTGGCAGCTAGTTGCATATCAGAAAGGCCACGTTGAAGAGAAGCAGCATCACACTCACAGAATCACTGGGGCTGGAAAGGTCATCCAGCAATCTAGGCCAACATCCCTCACTAAAGCAGGATTGCTTAGAGCACATCACACAGGACTGCATCCAGGTGGCCTTTGAAAGTCTCCAGAGAAGGAGACTCCACAACCTCCCTGGGCAGTCTGTGCCAGTGCTCTGTCACCCTCACAATAAAGAAGCGCTTTCTCATATTTAGATGAAACTTCATGTGTTGCAGCTTTTGCCTGCTGCTTCTTGTCCTGTCAGTGGGCACTACTGAGAAGTCCAGCTCCATTCTCCTTGCACCCATCCTTTAGATACTTACAGACATTACAGACATCTTCACTAGACAACTCCATGCCAGCAGTAAAGTAAAAAGAAGCGGCTTGACAACATGAGAGAGCCATTCTCAGCTTACCTGCAACGTGCCCTAGCGATTTAATACACATCTTTCACAAGTCATTACAGAGGCAGACCAAATGGTATTTCTAGTAACTGAAAAAACACAGTTATAAAATTGTTCCTGCTACACAGCTAAACTCATTCAAGGTCAGGCTTGATAGGGCTCTGAGCAACCTGATCTAGTTCAAAATGTCCCTGCTCACTGAAAGGGAGTGGGAATAGATGACCTTTGGAGGTCCTTTCCAGTCCAACACATTCTATGATTATTTAATTAGAACAAAGTGCTTCATAGTTCACTTTTCAAGTGTTTTTATACCTTCACCTCACATATTTTCTTCTCTAGGTCTGATGTTACTTTCTCACTTACCGTTACAGAATGGGTTTGATGGGTTAAAATTTATGGGGAACTCATGTGAAACCTGTCAAATACACAAAAGACATAGTCAGGACTGTATATACAATCTCCTCCTGAATTAAATGCTTTAAGTTCTCTTATGTAGTGCATTTACATATCCCATTTACCTGGAAGGAAGGAGGAATTTGTGCACCAAATCCAAAGGCTGGAAACATCTTATCTCTAAAAAGTAATTTTAAAGAAAATGAAGTTAGTGCCTTCCTTTAAAAGCCGTCATGATTCAGTAAGTTTAGCTAATCAGTGCTGCTTTTGACCATTAAAAATGCTGTTTATTAAGCATTAAAAGGCAAAATTAAGTGGAAGTTCCTCCTGCTAATCATTTCTAGGACCAAAAAGAAGTCTGTAACACTAAATGGGCAAGAATGTAACCATTCATTTAAATTAACGCTGCTCTTTACATTTCAGATGAAAAGTTTGCTTGTCTGCTGTAAACACAAGCTTCTGCTTATGATTATGCAATTGCACAGTGATTACAAAGTCATTTTTAGCTCTGTGTGTCAGCTCAGAAGTTTCATTCTGATGTATCTGCTGGAATCCTCAACACTGGTTTAAGAAACTATCACAAAAACCTATACATATCTAAAAAATATTTCAAATAAATATCTAAAACTTACGTGTCATAGTCCTGAATGACCATACCTACAGACCAAATGGCTGTTAGGTACTCATTAACTCCATTAGGGCTGAGGTAATGCAAAGAGTCTGGAGAGCGAGGGTCTCCATTGGAGCCTGTAAAATCTATCCCCACCTGTCAAATGCAATATTTACATAAAATTGCTGTTAGAGGTAACATTATGTTTCTTCGCTCTAGCAAAGGCAAAGTGAAAATCATGACAGAGTTGAAAACAATAGTTAAGCGGATATCTACAAATCTAACAGGCACAATCCTTCCATGCAGATTTCTAAGCATATTAACACTCTTAAAACAATGCCACTATAAAACCCGCAGAAGCTCTGTACCTCTGTTGAGATTACTCTTATCTGTCAGGTTTTCACTGTGCTAACTTTCAGTTACCATTCACAGCAGCTCTTCAGCAGCTGTTAAATTAATTTCATCTTGCATCTTGCCATATGCATCCTTCCTCTCCGAAGCGTGGCTAGCCAGACACCACAGAAGCCTAGTCCGACCCCAGCGAGTCCTCTTTGCTTTGGTGATGAGGCATATTACCAGGATGAAGTCTTGCTGTGATTTGTACTGCATTTGGTTTGTGAATTACATAACTGAATATGATGGCTTCCGTATGTTGCCTGCATCAAGCAACGGGCCTTGAAAACCACCATCAAGGGCAAAAGTGGTCAGAGAAGGGGAAAAAAAAATGAAGAAAAAAAATAAAAAAGAGCCCTTATGAAAAGGAAGCTTGAAGCAAATCAGAGAACTGTAAATTTTACTTTGTTCTCTATCCATGCAGCACAGCTAGCTCCTAATGAACAGAACACTACAGGTTCCGAAATTCGTGTCATGAGTAAAAAAATATTTTTTTCTAAACAGTCTAGACAGACAGACTCTGGCAAAATGGCTTCCCCCCTTCATGCTACAGGAAAAAAAAAATTAAAAGAAGAGCACAAGTTTGTCCCAAAACTCAAAAGCTACTTTATATAAATGAATTAACTTACTGTGAAATTCAGCTGACACCCACCCATGATGTAATCAAGGAATGTGCATTCTATTATGATCTAGAAATAGAAGTTAAAGACAGAAATTAACTTTTTTTTTTTAACAGGACAAAACCAATATGCATTATTGTAGCAACTTTTGACATTTCAGATCTGTTCCATGCAAACCACTACTTTTACCTCTAGAAACATCCCACCCACGCTCTGCAGAGACGATATTCACAGCGTCCGTCATCACCCACACAGTTCATCAGAATCAGGCCTTTTACAAAACTACAGGCAGACAACAAAGCAGCTCCAAAAGCACTACCATTTATAAAATAGCCTAGTACAATAGACTTACTAAATTTTAATTCACCATAAAATAGGGAGTTGGTAAGTGCAGTGGTTGAGGAACACCTTAAAAATTGTTAAACAACCTCTGCCATATAGATAGCATCATCCAGAGAAAGTGAGGGCACAGGGGAGGACAGACAGACAATTCAGCCGTCAATCTGTCTCTCCTTATATGAACCAGAGCCCTTAAATATTTTCCTTGTCTGTAACTCCAGTGATTTTAAAGTTTCTTACAGTTTGAGGGTGAAGGTGTACTAGATGGGGGTTATTATATCTGAACAGTGTCACATCGGAATGTTACTGACCTCACAGTGCTTAACACTCACAATGCCAGAGTTTTTATAGGTTTTTTTCTTCTGTCTCTTCTTCTCATTGATGCACTCAAATTCAACCTGAATGAATGCAAACAAATCCAAAAAAGCACTATTATTACCATTTATGCAACAAATAAATAAATAAATAAAAATCTTTATTCTAAGACTGATACTTTGGGCTTATACTAAATTCACAATACACTTCACTATCAAGTACAAGTAAGCTCAGCCTGTCATCTTCAAAAAACACATTTTCAAGACAGAAATCCTCTCTTACCCAAAAGCTTACAAATATATTTGTTTAGACACCTGTGTTTCAACCAGACAAAGATATTCTGCATCATTTTCCTTCAGAGAATTTTGCTAACAACTTCCCCTTCAGTAAAGACAGGATGATTCAGGGAAAGCATCACTGTTTCCAGTAGCTGTGGCAGTAATGTACGAAGCAAGAGGTGTTATGATTAGACATTCCAAAATCAGTGGTTCGGGCTCCATCAACTAAAACAATATCTCAACCTCCAAGTGCAATCAACAGCTTGCCAGGCTAAGTAGCTCCTGCCATCGTACAGTCACGGTGGCACTAGCGTGTCTGGTGCATAAAGAGTCTTGAGGAGGTATTCCAGATCTGCCTTCTGGCTCAGTGCCAGAATCAGGTTCCACTGCTTTGGTTCAAGTTAATTAAGTTCTAAAAAGTCACCTTACAATTACTCTCAAGTGAAAACATGTATTTACAAGGTCAGCACCTGAGAAGTCTACATGCATCTTGTTTATCTTTTTTTTTCATAGAATCATAGAATGGCCTAGGCTGGAAGCGACCTCAGAGATCATTTAATCCAATCTCCCTGTCATGGGCAGGGACGCCTCTCAACTAGATCAGGCAACACATGGGGACAGAACAGGAACCAAACCCGCAACCTTGGTGTTATCAGCACCATGCTCAACCGACTGAGCTAACAGGCCCCCTCCAACATGACTTCTGTCTGATGGAAATTGTTATTTTGGGGACTTTTTTTTGTACTATGTCAATTGATGAGGTACTTGGTAATAACAGCCATAAGATACATAGCTTTGATAATCTTTGAACTACATTTTAGAATTCTCCAACCAGAGCTCACTAACAGCATGCTTGGGGGAAAGATAGACCTTAAGGGAAGAGGAAAAAAATAATAGAAAACCTCAGCAATTCTGCAGAGAATGAGAAACAACCCATTCACCTCTGTCATAAATTTCAGCTTTTTCAGCAACTGAGGATACAGTCATACAGCTCACCCCATGTAAATTTGAAAGAAGTTGTGCCAAATCTCCCAGAGGTACAGCTGATGGTAGAATTGTGGAAGTAATTGAAGATCACACTTGGAATATATAAAGTGAAATTCTAATGTGCACTAGAAGTATGTCACAGATATTATCAAAATCAGGTCACGTAGGACGAGAGGCTAACCCCTTTTAAAGGTAGCAGAAATCTGGAGCACATTATTTTTGTGGTATCTTACCTTCACTTCATCTTACTGACACAGCAGTAAGTTATTTAGAGTAGTTATAGCCACAGTTCTCCTGAAAACTTTCTTAAAGCATTTCCAAAACCAGCATGGGCAGATTACAACTTGAAATGCCTTTCCTTTAAATTCAAGAGACCACACCTACTATGCTACTAGGGACACACTGAAAATAGGCATTAGATTCCCAATGAGCCTTTACACGACACTCTTCAAACTGCACAGGAACTCACTATCACAGTTCTTACAAAAAATATGTGCTTGAAAACACGAACATAGAAGCTTGCCAAGTTTGTTTAAGATACTGCTCTATAGCAAAAGTGCAACTTTTAAAAAAGGAAAAATGAAGAAAAACATCTTGTTAAAAGATCCATAAAAATCTTCATTTTAAAAAAGCAAAAAGAAATTTATTAAATACTCCTGTTCCTAAATTTATTTTTTGCACACTAATTAAAATAATAAAAAGGATCACTGTCAGCACTGAAAGCTAAACTGATACCATCTGGCCCATAAAAATCTAGCAAAAAAACCCCAAAAACCTAAGAGTTTCAACAGGGCAGCATATGAATTACATGTGGAGGATAGAAGTGGAAAATTTCTTACAAATAGTGCAAAACCTTAAGAGGCATTAAGCTCAACCATGCATAATTCAAAATTAATTCAGAAAGACATATCTAAAGGAAAAGCGTTGCAGGGTACAAAGCAGCACATGAAAGATATGGACGTGCTGGAGTGTGTCCAGAGAAGGGCCACGAGGATGATCAGAGGGCTGGAGCACCTCTCCTGTGAAGACAGACTGAGAGAGTTGGGGCTGTTCAGTCTGCAGAAAAGAAGACTCCGAGGAGACCTTACTGTGGCCTTCCAGTATCTCAAGGGGGCCTACAAGAAAGCTGGTGAGGGGCTTTTTAGGATGTCGGATAGTGACAGGACTAGGGGGAATGGATTAAAGCCAGAGATGGATCGGTTCAGATTGGATGTTAGGAAGAAGTTCTTCCCCATGAGGGTGTTGAGACACTGGCACAGGTTGCCCAGAGAGGTGGTGGCAGCCCCATCCCTGGAAGTTTTTAAGGCCAGGCTGGATGGGGCTCTGGGCAACCTGGTCTAGTGGGGGATGTCCCTGCCCATGGTGGGGGGGGTTGGAACTAGATGATCTTTAAAGTCCCTTCCAACCCTGACAGTTCTATGATTCAACAGCTCTGAAGAATTTAGTACAAATGCAACACTCAAGATGTTAGAAAAGTACAAGCAGGCACTCATATACGCTATTAGTATTAATGGATGTTCTCCAGGTTTTACAGAATTAAAAAAAATGATGGTAAATATTTTGGTAAAAACCATGTCCATAAAACAAAGACTTGTATGTTAAGGTCACTACACTACTTTTCCTCTCGCGAATGTAAACCTTGCCTATTAAAATGTTTGTAAATTGTTACAGTTAGTAAGAACAGGAAGGGTAATTTCACTTTAAGGAAGAGCCACCAAAACATAACACATTCATTTTTATGCAGTGACAAAAGTGTTGGATTTTTTCATATCAGCTATTATGCACAGTTGAGTGAGTAAGTGGCATACCTGAAATAAGGGAGTAAAACATGAAAAAATACTACAAGCTTTGGCCTTTTAACTGCAGTGAAATTTGTACTGCATTCTATCTTTTGACACCTTTTTTTTCCTGTATTTTTACGACTAGTGAAATTCGCTTGTGCTGACCGTTTGGTATTTAGATATGTAATATTAGAAACTGTAACTGATATATTAATCCTACAAAAATGGATGCATAATGTAAATGTGAGTCACCCTCAACTACAGTAATAGTGTTAAGGTGTAACCTAACACAACTCCAAGTCAAGTGATGTAAGTTTTGCTCCAAAATGAGTAAAAGAGCTTATTAAAACCACACAGGCAGCTTAGACTATGTAAGACTTACAGGTGAGGACCGAGATGCTTCCTTCAGTTTTGACATTGTAGTCTGAAAACTTCCGATGAGATCATGAGACCCATCACTATCATAGTCATAGCACTCAACCTAAAAGGAAGCATTACTTGGCGTCAGTAACAGCAACGGCCCCACAAAAGCAACAAACACTGCAGCAGCATTTCTAGTTCAGGCACATCTGAACATCCAAAACATTCCTAAACCTCTTATATCATGGAGTTTTTCCTCACATTGCAATCAGTGTTGCACAGAGTTGCATCTAAAAATTATCGATTAAGATTGGGTAAAAGCCCACATACCCAGTTTCAGATCAGATCTTCCACTGAAGAGAGACATGAATACGAAGCAGTTTCAGGTCTCTTATGAGTGAGTTGCATCAATTATATTGAACTATGCTTTGGGAGTGAGAGGGTGTCAGGAAGAGTAGGAACACAACGTAGGTAGGGGGTTTTTTTTAGTGTCATCATGGATCAAGAGATAGTTTTTCAGAGGTACCAAGGGGATTTAACTATCTCTAAGCATACAGCTAAAATTCCTGTAAATTAATTGTTCAGTGATCACAGGAGTTTTAGTAATACTTTTATATTAGTTTATTAATCTTCACGGTAATTCAGAATTTATAAGCAGATGAAGGTTTGCACCGTTATCTAGAAACAAGACTTGAATTATTTTTTTTTTTTAATATTAGCAAATTTGAACAGCCATGAGATCCATACTTCATGCATCTCAATGTCAACTAAAAATCCTTCTTTTCCTGTATTCGATGCCTAATACTTCCATCATCTGTTAACACCCCAATCCACCAAAGGCAGCAGAACAAGTGAAAAACAGGCTTTTTTTCCTCTTTGAGAACCTACTAGTCTGAGCATAATTTTACCACTGTTACTTTAACCTTACAGTATCCTCAATTTTTGTTTTCTAAAAGCTCACCTAAAGCTACTTTTTTAGATAAAACACTTGGTATTCATCTATGATAGCATATCCTAATTCTACCAACTTCTGGTACTTTATTTTAGTTTAGCAACACAAACATGCTTGCTAAATTAATAAAATCATAGGAAAAAAGTTTAATAGTCATAACAATTATACACAGTAACAATAATAAAACAAAATTCCATCATTTGGAATCAAAATACAAACTTGATGAAAAAGTTTTCTGCACCTATATGGCTTAAATTGAACATCTATGTTCATGGCCATCTTTCCAGATAAAAAAAGTCATACGTTATGTTCAAGAAACAATTTATTGGATTACTTGGCCGTTTCATTTAGGAATAATGAAGTAGAACAAACAACTTTAACCCACACTTGAACTTTTCAAAGAAATTAACTTTCTGAAAACAAACAAGGATGTCAAAGTACAAAATATGATATAAAGATTGCGAGTTCTACAGCATGCAGAACATGGCTCTGTTGCGGTCTGCACCACTCCTAAAACAATATGAATGCACAAATAAATAAATAAATGCACACACATGCACTGAATAGCAACTTAAATCTCATGCAAGCAGACACAAAGCCAAGAGACTAAAGTCCGTGGCAGATGCTACATAATTCTTTTGAATGCCTTAAACTAAGCCAATCAAATACTCAGGCAAGTACTTCAGCACCTGGAATTTAAAACTGAACATAGTTCCTGAGCCAATAGTTACGATACCCATCCAGAGTTACTACAGTTTTTTATTCTTCCTTTTAAAGGTATCAAAGCTTGTCTTGATTGTTATATTTTACCCATCTAAGCCAATTTTCAATACTTACTTCAGGCAAGACAGAATTATTTTCTTTGTTCCACGTGTGCTCTCCTGGACATGCAATAGCACTAGGCAACCATGTCATAAACTTGCAGATAAATTTTCCCTGGCAGAACTAGGCATGCTTGCTCAAGATGAAAGTCTCACATTTTCAACATAAAAAAACTTCACTGACTGCAAACACGCTCACATGGAATCCAACAATAAACCCAAAAGGTAATGGATCAGCTTGGTTTGTGCATTGCTGGGGATACACAAACAAAGCTATTCGATAGGTGAAAAGCCACTCGTTATGGAAAAGTTGGTGGTTTTACTTACTACGACAAATAGTCCATTACGTAGGCAACTGTGCACATATGAAAATGTTAAGGGTACTGTTTAATCCTTTGGCAACATTATAATACAATTCTGTCTGCATTTTAATGTTTGAAGTGACAGCTCTTGGATTTCTAAGTTAAGACATAATCCTATTGTCCGTCTCCAAGTCCATAACAACTCCAAGAAAAATCTATTTCCTCCAGAAATAAATCTACACATCTGAAGCAAGATTCTAAAGAACAGACTTTATTAAAATGACAGAGCTGAGAATAATTCCATCCTGATATATTTTAATTAATGGTCTACAGTTTTAATATGGCTGTTTACTGAAAAAGAGACATATATTTACAGTGTATGGAGATGTAAAAGCTGTCAGCTATTTTGGAGAAAAGAGAAGCAGAAAGGAATGAGAATTAAAAAACAACAGAAGCAGTAAGGGAAGCAGGGTGTGGGCTTCTAAAGCTGTTCATTAGTCTGCTCTATAATTATTTACATCTATACAGGTGCTTGTAACACCCAGATCCCTGTGGCTGTTAAGAATTTTCCAGGATTGCCTCAAGCTGTATGACTAATATCTGTCATAAACACATCATGCTATCATTTCTCCTTCCCAGGGGAAGAACAGCAAGTATAGTGGTTTGTTAAATTTGTTTTATTTGGGGATTTTTAAATACTTTCTCCAAATGCTAAAGTATCAGGTTCCTAACATGTTCATAATAGCTTATAAGTGGCATTTTGATAGGTTGTTTAGCTTCAATTGCACCCCTAAAGTAAATTCCTGAAGAAAAACATTCAGAAGTTAAACACAGAAACATAGAATGTCTTAGGTTGGAAGGGACTTTAGAGATCATCTAATCCAACCTCCTTGCCATAGGCTTGGATATCCTTAACTAGACCAGGTTGCT